ATAGTGAGTCTCCTCCACTCTCCTCATGAAGTACATGATAGAATAGATAAGACACTTGGAGTCCATATCTAAACAACCACCATCGAGGAGACCTTTGCAGATTTCGCCGATATCTTGCACAATATTCGACAGAGAGAGAATCATCAAATGAAACGGAAAGTGCCCGACTATAAATAACAAGTAAAACGTGTACTCCACAGATAAACAGACAATTCTAAAATTAAAATACTATAAAATTATTATACTTTTAATATGACAGACACTTAATAACCTCACACAGACAAATTAGAAAATTCCTACTATTATAAATAGAAAGTTTTCATAAACAAAACACAAACGAAACATGTCACAGTCTCGGGGAAAATACTATGAATTTAAAGCCATGCACGGCTTTGTAACCATGAATTTTGCACCAGCTCAAAAGGTGCCAAGCAAGGAAACGATAAAGAGTGCCATCGAACAATGGTGCTCCACGAAGAAGAAGCGAGCTCACATTAAATATATTGCCATTGGAAAGACTACACAGGGAGCTAACAAACATATACACGCCTTCTTCGAGCTAGAAGAAGTAGCTCACACCAGAAAAAAGCCCTTCATAATTATAGACGGGATTTTACAATTCCTGAAATTCGAAAAAATAACTGAAAACAAAAACTACGATGGCTCGTTCAATGCCATTATCGAATATTTAAAAAGACAGAAAGAAAGGCATCCAAACGACAGAGCCATATTCGAAGAGATAGGAAAGCTGGAAAGAAACAGAGGACGTCTGGGAGATGTTGATCTAGGTCGAGCTTTAAAAATGCCAGACTTAGAAGAAGCCCATGCATTCTTAAAAAATATCAGCTTAAAAGGATACATGAATAATGTATCTAAGTTTGATAGTGTGTGGGCTCAAGAACACAGTAGAGACACTCCCAATAGAATAAGAATAAAACTCCAACCATGGAAGGAAGATAATCCAGTGGTTAAAAACAGTAGAATATGGCTCAATTCAGCACTCAGCAGAAGAACCAAAAGAATCAAAACATTGGTAATTGTGAGTGATACTAAAATGGGGAAGACTGAATTTGTTAATGATTTATTAAAAGACTTAAAAGTTGACGAGTTTAGAGGCAGGTTCATGATGGATGGGCATAACGAGAGTCTAAAATATGACATTAGACTGTTTGATGATGCCAATCTCAACGATATCATATGGCCAGAATTTAAATCATTGATTAGTACCAGAGGAGAACAGATTACAATTAATGTGAAATATTCACACGCCAGAGTTACATCAATTCCAACAATACTAGTACTTAATCCAGGAAGTTGGAAAGCACTCCAACAAACGGCAAAAGAATACGAAGACTTTGACTGGCTAGAAAAGAATTCAGTGGTACTTTTCACTAAAGAGAAACTATTCAAGGAGCCACCACCTAAACCACAAGTAGAACAAGATAAGAATAAATATGATGGTTTAGATCCAAAACTAGTAGAAATGTTACTAGAAAATGAAGTAGAAGAAGACATCGAATTAGATGATATGGGAGATGACACAGTAGATGATTTAGATGATGCAGTATACCAACTAGAACAAGAGAGTCTACCTCCTCCTATAGTATTAGATCAGCCATTAGAAGAAGTACCATCAAAAAGAGTAGCTGTAGATGATCACGAAATGCAGAAGAGATTCTTTGACTTAACGAAGAACGTAATAAATGAAGAAGGAAATAATAAATACATCACTGTACAAAGTGAAAGAAAATAAGA